ATTACTAAGATATGTGACACTTAAGTTGACTATCAAGATGATATACCAAAAATAAAATTTTTTTTGTACGTTCAAACTATATACGTAATGATATGAAACTCAAAAACAAGTTTTATTAATTAGATCTTAAAAATAATTACTTCGTCATAAAATATAGCTCGTCCTAGTATACCCTCATTTTCTGCAAACACCATGTAGAAATGAGACGAGGCTTATCATTGCTGTCCCACTACTGCATAATTTTTTTAAAAAAATAAGTAGTAGTGGGACAAGTACTTGACAAGACCAAATTTGATTTTCAACGACTGTGTTTTCATGCTTTTTACTATAGTAACCGTGTTAGAGTCATCAGTCTAGTCTTTAATAGTAAAATTAAACTCAAATATATTTGTAGGATTAGTAGTTAAGTGAATGAGAGTAATAAAATTTCTATGTTTAAGTACTTTAATCTTAAATATAAGTTGTATTTATCATATAATAAAATATTCTGACACGAAACTATATGTTGTATGTACATTTTGAGTACATTGAAATATTTGAAACATCATTAAGAAAAGTAAACAAACTGAGTAACACTTGGTTATTCATCTAACAAGTTCATTCTTTTGTAGGTACTAAATTTAAATCATATAAAGTTATTAAATTTTTAAGTCTTGCATATTTCTTGGGGGGTTGGTGCACAGGGGGAGAAGCCTCACTAGTATATAGTATATGTAATGAATACGAGTTCTGTCATATTTAGAATATTCCAGAGTCCATGGTCATGGGCGTGCGTCAGTGGTCGCTGTGAGAGGCGAATAGTGCGGAGCTCCCGGATATCTCTAGCCACCTGCTCTGCACTGTGTGGTGATAATACGAGGTTACTTTGGCCCAGACCCAATGGACCCGTGCATCTTGGAATGGAAAGCTTAGCATTTCATTGGCAGCAAATTAAATTCGCTACAGTGAATACAAGCAGCCATGATATTGAAGCTTTCTTTGAATACGCCAAGGATATTTTCTTACGTAAGTTAATTCTTTCCTTAAGCAAAACTGCTTACTTGTACAACAGTATGTATGGATGGGAGTTAATTATTTAACTGCTATATTGAATTATTTATTTGGGATTCTATTATCAATGTATTCTATACGAAGAACGGATGAATTTAAAGGCTAATTTGACGCAAAAATTTTTATTTAAGGCAATTCAGATCTGTTTTTTATTTTTTTGTAAAAAATATCCATTCCTGTTAAATGAGTGAAAGACAGTAGTTTACTTCGTAGTTTTTAAGTTAAAAAGCCATAAAAATTTTTTGTTGCTTGTTAAGGAATATTTTTCATAAATAACTTTAATAAGTTATACAAAGAATTAAAATGGTATCGGTCTCTTACAGGTAACGTAAGGAATCTTATGAGATCACCAACCCCAGGAATTCCCTCAGCAGTCGACAACTTCGTGATTTACTTAAGTGCCAATACAGCTAAAGATGCGCAACTAACTCTAAACACTGACGAATCTTATCAACTTCAAGTGCTCACAAAGAACAGACAATTAGAGGTACGCAAGTCCTGGCAATTGTTATAGTTACTTTTTTTATAGTTTATTATTTTTTATTATTAGTAGTAAAAAAAAATAAGCATTCTTAGTTACAGTACGTTTAACAAGATTCGAGGCAAAATTATTTGCTATTTCCAGGCTCAATAAACTTAAGTAGAAAAATTTATGCTAACTTTTAATAAAGATGTGATTAACAGCTGAAACTACAATTTCTAGAACTAGGAATAGTCAGGAGCTCGAGAAAATCACAGAAACAAACATATCACTTCGGAAATTTGTTTTAATAATAAGTCAAAATGCTATCACGAGAATAAATGAAATGACCAAATCATATAAGCAGAAAAATAGTTTAATAATTCCATAATAATTTTAAATAAAATCGAAAAAATTTTATAACTTTTAATGCCAGTAGCATCAATACAAACAAAAATTCTTTCAAAAGCTACTTAATAATTCTTCATTTTTCTTAATTTATAATGCTTGCGTGACTGTAATATATTGAAATGCATTGTACGAACTTATTTTTGTCTCTTTAAATAGCATAAGAAATGCAAACTTTTATTTATATCCGTAAAAATATATGTCTTACAAGCACATGATACAAAAATTCAAAGCCAGCTAAAGAAAAATTAGAACGTGGTCAAGTTCCTCAAAAAAAAATTTTTTTTATCTTATTTCCGAAATTAAAAAAATTTTTGAATTGTATTTTTTCTCCAACAAGTCTAAGATAAACTTTTTCTTATGCCTCCACTAAAAGTACGACTTCGTTTACTGGTATCAGAAAACAAATTTTAACATTTCTTTCAGGTAAGAGTTCCCGTACGTCGTTCGTAGAAAAAAGTATTTTCATATTCTCTGCATGATTCTGTCATGGAAGATGTCACAATACTTTTTCTTATAATTAATTAACACGTTTCGTACAAATGTCATATTTTCTTCAAAGAAAGAAAAAAAATTGTAACGGGCATCAAGAAGAATGTATGGCATTAACTCTTGGCTATTGGCTTATACCTAGGAGGAAATGCCATACTTTCTTTCCTTGGTGCGTAATATACTCTTTAATCCGTCGACATTTCTTGTTTTTCATGCACTTTAAAAAGATAAATATGGTACAACTTCTTAATTTTACTTACATGCTGATAAAGTTTATTTACTTAAAGATAACGAAAACAATACCACTTTCTGCTCACAACTTTTAAGTCATGTATTTTTCTGCTCAAAAATGATGTTTGCCGATAGAATGCAAGAAATGACATCGATAACATATATTCTAACATTATTTAAATAGTAACATCAGAATAAAAAATAGTTTTAAGATTAAAAAAAATGATACGTTTCTATTAAATGTACCCTGTAGCTTGAGACTTGATAATGGAAAGCTACTCTTTTTTATTTACTCTTAAAACTTGAGCATATGAATACATATATGTATATGTATACGTATGTATACATTCCTACAATATGACGTTAATAAGTTATACATCGAGTCAAGCTATACGCATACACTCTTAGCAGCTGCTGTAAATGTGTAGGTAGTGCTAATGGCACGAGTAAAAGTAAAATGGGGTATAGTGGGACAACGCAAAAATTGCAGGGTATAGTTGGACAGAAGAAGAAAATCATAACTGGTGAATTAACTTGACAAAAAATATCCTTAAAAAAATTTCCTATTATTCCTTTATCTTTTAGCCAGATAAGACTCCCAAAATTGATTGTGGTAAACGTTCATGGGAGAATGAAAAAAATATTTCATCAAGCTGTCCAAGCACTCGTTTGATGCATACGTCTTAAGCAAGGCATTTCACCCATTTTAGATGTGACACTTAAGTTGACTATCAAGATGATATACCAAAAATAAAATTTTTTTTGTACGTTCAAACTATATACGTAATGATATGAAACTCAAAAACAAGTTTTATTAATTAGATCTTAAAAATAATTACTTCGTCATAAAATATAGCTCGTCCTAGTATACCCTCATTTTCTGCAAACACCATGTAGAAATGAGACGAGGCTTATCATTGCTGTCCCACTACTGCATAATTTTTTTAAAAAAATAAGTAGTAGTGGGACAAGTACTTGACAAGACCAAATTTGATTTTCAACGACTGTGTTTTCATGCTTTTTACTATAGTAACCGTGTTAGAGTCATCAGTCTAGTCTTTAATAGTAAAATTAAACTCAAATATATTTGTAGGATTAGTAGTTAAGTGAATGAGAGCATTGTTACCTGTTACATATACATAATCTGATACCTGACCTCAATGCAATCTGTATTAATCCATCCTACCTGATGTAAGAAAATTAACTTTTCAGGAAATGATATATATTTTGAATAATTAATTTTCATTATACTTATATTAAAAAAAAAAAAAAACTGAACAAAA